TGCGGCAGAAGCAGCGTGAATCCTGTCGAGCAGTACACCACTTATTCTTTTATTGATTTTTGCGGTTTTGTACAAGTTAATTACCTCCAGAAAAATGTTTGTGATATCCTTGAACAGAGGCAAGAATTTATCAATAGGGATGATCACGACGCCGGCTAATTCTATTACACCATGAACAGTACTTAAGACATTTGTTGTTAAACAGGAAACATCAGAGCATTCTTCCAACACCTCAATTATTTTTCTATCTTCCTCTTCCCCGTTTTCCGAGATGTATTCCGACATGATTAGTGCTTTTAAGAGAAGAAACTCTGTTTACTAATCATCCAAAAAATACAGTATTTAGCGCATAAATACGGTTGCATGACGCCTACTCTATTGATCACGCTATTAGAACCATTGATGCATTCCCCTTATTATATTGTACAAATCTTGTATCGCATCATTCATTGCACAGCATATTTATGTACTGTATAATAGAGATCGGATAGAATTTACTGTATATTCTCTGAATATCGATAAAAAAAAAAAAAATTTTTTTTAATAATTATATACTGTACGTATATACTGTACATTATATTTCATTTAATTCAACTACGTATTCAAAATCCATCCCAAAATCCATTGCTATATTTTCGGTCTTCTCTTTGCATGATCTTTAACATTCAGTTCTATCGATTTGATATGGCCTATTGACTTGTCATTAATTTCATAATATTATTTCAACATACTGCAAATTCTTGTAATTTGATCTCTTTGAATATTTTTTCAATATACAGTATACACATACACTAATAAACATAATTTAAATTCTAAATAAAATATAGATGTATTTTTTTAATCAAATTATATATCTGAATAAAGATAATTTAAAAAAACCATAAATAGTTAACACTTACAGTATATAGTATATCGCGCAGGGTCTTCTTTCGAGGGAGAGGAATGATTATAAACGGAAAATTACGGTATTTAATATACTTCATATCCATTGTTCAGGTTATATACCGTACCTTAATTACACACAGAGTGACACATTATACAGTTACTGTTGTTCCAAAAAATGGGCGTATACCGAATTTGCGACTATGCATAATAATTACCATATCGATATGATATTAAAGATGTTTGTATATGGTTATATTAAGATCGTTTGTAAGTATATAAGGTTTAAGAATTGTAAGATACGATATACTGTATCCTAATATAATGTGGATTCAAATATACGACATCGTTTCATCGATTTTTGGATTGTTGTTGAATGTTTTTTATCGTGAAATCAGGGTGCAAGGATTAGACAATGTTCCAAAAGAAGGACCCGTCATCTTTGTCGCAGCACCACACGCAAATATGGTATATCTTATGATGTTTAACATCTTGCATGATAGGTAATGATTAACCAATCCCTCTTTTTTTTTTTTTTTACGAAAGTTTATTGATGGAGCAATCTTCACAAAATATTGTCCACGAGAAGTTTCTTTCGTGATGGCGAAAAGGGCCACAACATACAAGTATGCCGGTTCCTTAATCCGAGGAATGCATGCAAGTATGTAGCATAGTGTACATGATTCTCACAATGCACGATTAAAACTTGTTTCTATCATTCAGTTACATTGGAAAGACCAAAAGATTTTGCTGAAATGGGTAAAGGAAGTATCCAACTGGATCAATATAAAGATGATTCTTTTCATGTGAATGGTATAGGCACGGAGTTCACAAAGCAATTAAAAGTGGGGGGCCGAATCGCTTTACCGAATGATTACGGATCATCGGAGATATTGGAAATATTATCGGATACAGAATTAGTGATCAGAGAGGAATTCAAAGGTTTCAAGGCTTTAGAAATGTTGACGCAACCCAACGGAACGCCTTATGTATACTTGCCACGTGTTGATCAAAGTCACCTTTATAAGAAAACGATTGAGGTGCTGAATGCTGGAAAATGTATCGGAATGCTTCCGGAGGGTAGGAGTCACGATCGGGCCGAACTCTTACCTTTGAAAGGTTTTCATTATCATACTGTTAGCTTTACGCAAGCCTGTTAACAATACACGCGTGCCCCGTGAATCGTCTTAATAACAAAAAATTTTATATTATTATATAGCGGGTATGGCTATCGTTGCTCTGAGCGCCATGGCAGAAAATTCTAATCAAGATATCAAGATTGTGCCATGTGGTTTGTTGAAAATGTCATACCGACTTCAATTGGTAACAAATGTCACACTGATTCCTTTCTTCATAGGCTTGAATTATTCCTGTGCGCATAAATTCCGTTCGCGTGCTGTTGTTTGGTTCGGTTCGCCTATTTCAATTCCACCTGAATTGGTAGAAAAATATCGTAATAAGGGTCAGGATAGAAAACAGGCATGTGGAAAGTTGCTAGAAATCATTTATGATGGATTGAAATCGGTGACGGTTACCGCCCCAGACTATGAAACGTTGATGGTACGGTTTAAACTTTAAGCATAGCATTAGACCACACGAAACCTCAAAGTAATTATCGACTTGAGCATTTTATCATGTTGGCGTTTAAAATTTTATCTTGTAGGTCATTCGAACAGCCCGTAGTTTATATAGGAATTTTCATGGATCCGGAATTCACGAAGAAATGAAATTAGATCAACGGTTCATTAATGGTTACATGAAATGTAAAGATGATCCGTATGTTCAGGCAATACACAAGGAAATAATGGAGTATATTCGATTATTGAAACATTATGGATTAGATGATCGCCAAGTTCATCAGATTTCCGGTAGAGGATTTAGAACGTTAGCTTTATTGCTATGGCAAATTATAATCTTGGTCTTGTGTTTTGTTTTGAGTCTCCCTGGTAAGTTGCAATTGAGTTTAAATAAAAAAACCTTCACCTTCAGTATCGGTTCTGATGATTTTTCATTGTCGTATTATGGTTGAAAATGGAAATGCGTATTAATTAAGGGTTGATATTAAACCTTCCTCTAATTATGGACACCCATTTTGTTAGCTCCAAGAAAGCAGGTTTGTTCAACAAAAATCGATAATACATCCATGTAGTGTTCATGTTTCGATCATTGTTTTTCTTTAGAGGTTGCCAGGAAATCGTGCGTCATGATCGCAGGACACCATGTTGTGGCAACATGGAAAATTCTCACTTCCTTTAGGGACGTACCAATTTTATATGGACTTTACACATTCATAATACTATTCTTAGCTCACAAATATCATTGGAATCTTATTCTAAATTCTGGAATATTTGCTCCCATTAACGTCCTTATAATTTTATTCGCATATAATTACGTGTTGATTCGATTATTGGATGTGGGATCCGATTTGTATAGGTATAATTTCAAATTAATATTTCGTACTACCGTTACATATACTGTATATATTTTTTTTTTTAAAAAAAAAAATTGAATGCTCTGCGTAGATCACTCTTGCCCCTCGTCATATCATTCTCTTCACCACAATCATCAATTCAGCATCTTCAACAAATTCGTGATAAACTTTCGAATGATGTGACTGAACTCGTCAATGAACTAAAAACAAAAATCATGTGTTAAATGGTTCGTCGATAAATGAAATAAATTAAAATTCGAGTTTATTATTATACTGTATATACAATAGTACATGTTTTGGTATGTTTATTAATTTTGTCGAATAAAAATATGCTTAACTTTTTAATATCTAGAGAGTTGCATGCAGTATATTTAAGTTAAAAATTAAATAAACAAAATATTCCTGTATTATATATAATATAACAGCGAATATGATAGCAGTGACTGAATAAGAGAAACATCTCCCCACAAACGATCTTCCTTCCACATTCGGCTGAAGCGATGTGTTGTTCTTTGCATTTACATTATTGTTATCCTGTTTTTCCTCATTGGTCGAGTTGACCTTGACCAGATTTTCCGAGATTGTATCGCTCAAAAGATGATTTGTTACGCATTCTCCAAATTGCATTACCAACAAACCATCTTCGTTTTGTATATATTTTATAGAGCCGTTGACGTAGACATGATCACCTGTGTGCATTTAACAATGATTAGAGGTTTGATAAATGATTGGCTGTATGGTTACTATTAGTAATTAATTAATTGATACATTACCCGAATCACTTCGATTTCTCCTGGGTAAAATATCAGAGTCGCCGGATAAATTTCCGAAGATATGCGACGAAAGGTTTTCGGATGAGTGATGATTGATTCTTACATCATCGGAAAATATATCGTTTTCCAACTCGGGCGTGGTCCATTTGCCTCGGTAGATACTTTCAAGTTGACCTTCAAAGAAATTGAATAATTCCCGCGCTTTTGGTCTCAAGGAAGGATCATTGTGTAAACATCGTTCCATGATTTCCTTATATTCTGGAGGTAGCCCAGGGATGCATTGTGGGCGGAGACCTTCGCAAATTCTCTCTAGGAAAATACTGGCTGATCTGCTAATTTCGTTCGTATACTCTTCGTAAGGAACACGACCAGTTGTTACCTGCCATATTATCATCCCGATACTATATATATCTGACGCCTGTGTGACTTCTTTATTACGTATCACTTCCGGGGATACGTATCGAGGCTCTCCATAGAACTCATTTGACTCTTGCACTGCTGGCCTACAAAATCCAAGATCACCTATGTACCAGTTCTTGGAATTGCTTCCTTGGAGGATGTTTCCTGGATGGAGATCACCATGAATTAGGCCTGCCTTGTCTTCATGGATCTTCATGATAGAATATGTGATGTCGTATATGATTTCAATTTTCTCTTCCCAATGAAGCGAGGAAGGACTTTCTTCCATAAATTTGCGCAAGTCTTTGGTCATATATTCTAAGACGAGCATAAAATTTCCGGTTTCCACGTTCCTTGTCAATCCATAACATTTGACAACCGAATTTGTCTTCATCATGAAATTTAGATGTGATTGGATCTAAAACGATGAAAGAATTAATAGAAAAAAAAAAAAAAAATCCATCACTTGCAACATGGTTATATACATTTGGGCTAAGTAACTTACCTCACGGAACCATCTGTGATTTGAACCTGGTAAACTATCCAACGTCTTCAGTGCAACACTTTTCTCCCTTATTCTCCTGAGTTGTTGTTCATCAGCATCCCACTCATCAAATCGACCGTCAAACCAAGTCGCTTTGTAGACCTCGGCCCAACCGCCTTTACCTAGAAATGAAAAATCTCCAAGATTTTCGTAAGGGATCCATTCGACAATATAATCCGGCCTCAGTGCAATTCTTTGACAATTTTGAATTAATATGTCGACATCACCATTTCCCGATGTCCATTCTGTAAAATTCCGCACCAGATAGTTTCGAATACAATGTTCACAGTTTTTCTTAGCAAATGTCAACCCATAACATTTTATACATTTTCGCTTTATCCCGCTCTCGTTGGAAATTCTATTTTCGTCCTCCCACTTCTCCATCCAATTTATAAAAAACACTTTTTCCTCATTCTTCAGATTCAACTTTTCATTGATGATTTTATAGACTTTTCTCAAACGATTATCTTGGTCGTTAAACTCTCGATCAGCTTTAAGGTTCATACGCAATGCAACCCTGTTGAGCAGAGGATTTGTGAAATCGTAACGAATCTCGTTCTCGCTATCCATGAAATTTTTCTCGGATATGACGTTGATAGAAGGTCTGGATCGATTTTTGTTTTTAAGTCGTTAATGGTGAACGAAGCAGAGATGATTATTGCAGGCGTAACAAAACATCTTTAAATAAGGTTTGTCTGGGTAATCCTTGTGACCTTTGTGTTAAAGGTAATAATAATACTCAGTTCAATTGCGTGATCAAGTTGTACTGAAGGCGTAGTAAATATGAATTATCAAGTTCCGTACGCAGTGGGAGTTTTATCTATCATCCAGACATATCGGGAAAACCGTATGGGATCAATGTATTCGTTGTGCATATTGAAGGTGCACTCGATATGGAACTAATCAAAGAACCTGAAACATGACCCCCCTTCGGACGTAACATTAATCGGGATTTTGTTTGTTTGCATGACCACATGTTTATTGTACTAAAATTAATACGGTATGTTCCAACGTCTCTTTCGTTGTCATTATTTCTCAAAATGATCCATTGGGCGTCATCTTAAATTTCAAATTCTCCTGTTTTTAACGTATCGCCCAGAGGGCATTCGATCATTGGTGTCTCTATTTTATTCAATGTCAGGGAAACCATTCAATCTGTCAAAATATGGTTAACTCCAAAATTTCCACGTGATCATGGTATCGCGAAATTTCGAAATTTCGATCCCGTAAGTAGATGTAACGTTAAACGTGCGTGTTCACAAGATGATCTTTGAGCCGGGAGCTAACCCATGGTGTCATGGCATTGGGATCCGGTTATGTAGTCAATATTTTACAAAAGTGGCGAGACAAAAATGTTAAACGGATGTGACCCGTGACCGATGTCTATGTGCTAAATGTTAATTGATATTCAGCGTTAGTTCTTACTCAAATATTTCTCAGTGATTCGTGGTCATCGTAAAATTTCGAAATTATTCCTTTTTTTTAGATAATAACATCAATATGTCAATTTTTTTTTTCAAAAATGTCCCGGAAGCACACTTTTTAAATGCAATGTCCCGGACTGCATTGTCCATGTTTCGGAAATATGGCGACCATTCTGTTTGTTGCACTAAAATAACGTTAGTACATTTGATGTGTTCTAGAAATTCACTTTTATCTATTTTGGGTATCACAACTTGAATAGAAATTTCGATTAGACATTCTAGTCTCCAAAGAATGCCGAAGAGATAATGATTAAACTACCGAATATACAGTACCTGTATTCACTTGCTAAATGGTTAACCCATTCCTTTCTGACTTGTTCATTGGATTCTACAGAACAGAACTCAAATTAACGTGGAAGTTCCATCAACCTTCCCGCAAATTAAGTCTAACACTGTAATGTTCTAAAATAAAAATCTCCGTTTCCAAACACTGTAATCATTTAATTGTATTGATGCAAAAGATTCTGGACATGAAATAAACAAACTTGGATAAACGGTATATGATATACGGATCTTGGCTTTTGTCCGCCATTATTGTCAATTTTCATTTATCCATGGATGTATGCGTGTAATCTCATTGAAGTTTATCGGAATGTTTTTTACTAGGATCATTAATGTTTTTGATTTTTATGTACATACAATATCAGTTTATAACAAAATCATTTGTTTATTTGTAACCGCTATTTATTAAATTATATTTTTTGCTTTTTTTTTATTATTCTCGAATTTTATAAGTAAATAGTATCACATAAAAAAAAATAATCGAATTACCGGGTATCCTGTGATCAATCAATTTACAAATTCAATATTTATTTAATACTCGATTCGTTAATAAAAATCCGATACGGTATTTCCACATACGCTATATCAAGTAAAGATAAAGTAAATATCATCGTTTGAAAAATTTTTGATTTCACAATGAATGATTAAATACGTGATAAATATAATATATACTGTATATCATTTAATTTAAAAGTTGGTATTGATTTTTTATGATATCGGGATTATTCGTTTACTTAACAGATTTTTACTTTAAATTTGTTTTTTTTTTTTTTTTAAGATTCTTTATATAATAAACTTGGTCATATTGATACTAGCTTAAAATTTTAACATTTTTGAATTTGGATTCATTAAAAATACATTATTATTCGTGAAGGATTTTTTTTTAATATATCGTATATAAAAAACATACTTATCAAATTATATAATTCAATAAAAAAATCTTTTTTACATAAATTATATATCACTTTGTTACAATTTAATTTAATTTTTTTTAAATTTCTTAATATACAGTATCTTGAATTATACGGTATGTAATATGTTTTATATTTTAGTTATATAATATTTATTGTAAAAAATTATGATTTATTATATTTAACTTGGTGCTAACTAAAATATTGATATATTTTGATTCGATTAGTAATATTTGCTTTATTAATTTTATATTAACTTTTTTTTAATAATATTTTTGATTTTTTTTAATTTTTGTTTATAATACCTTTTTATTTTTTTTTTATTTGAAGATCTTGTTTTATTTGAAAGATTGTTTATAGAATTATAAATTTAAAAAAAAATAAATTTTTATTAATCTAAATAAATATTTTCTTATCTTTAAATCTTATATTGTTGTTATTAATTTCAAAAGATAATATTTGATTTTAAAGTTTTACTTGCTTATTTAACTAAAATTAATAATAATTATTATTATTAATTTATTATAATTTATAAAAAAAAAATCATAATAATTATTTTTTACTAATAATTTTAATATATATACTGTATATATAATTTAATTAAAACTAAAATTATTTTATAATTTAATTTATTTATTGTATTAATAATATTATTAAGAATAAAAATAATATTTGTAAAAATATATTATTTTGTTAATTTATATTATATTTTTATTTTGTTAATTTTATATTATATTTATATTTTTATATTTTATATTATATTTTTATTTTTATATTTTATATTAAATTTAAAAAAACTCTTTTTGCTAATTTTTTTGTTAATCCAAAAAA